AGAGAGAGAGAGAGAGAGAGAGAGAGAGAGAGAGAGAGAGAGAGAGATTGAGATTGTTTTTAAAGCATTGTATTATATCAAACGGTCTGACGAGGTCAGCAGATAAAAGAAAGCTCCTTGGACTAGACACAGGGATTTGGGGGTGGTGGGATGGAGGTGGTAACCTAAAGTAATACCATTGAACAACAGAGGAAGCACAATCGTGTAATCACTCTCAGCCTTCCTGATGCTCTGACTCTCTAATACAGTTCTTCATGCTGTGGTGACCACCAGCACAAAATTATTTTCCCTGCTACTTCGTAACTGCAGTTTTGCTAATGTTATGAACCATAATGTCAACATCTGTGCTTTCTGATGGTCTTAGGCGACCCCCCAAGAAACGGCCATTCGACCCCCAAGGGGTCTCAACCTAGAGGTCGAGAACGCCTGATTTAAATGCTATAGCAAGCAATGAGTGCCAAGTGCTGGAACCATGCCCAGTCTTCCCTGGCTGAATGTAATGTGCCTCCTCTCCTGAAAACAAGCAGGCCACTGCCCATATAGTTCCTGAGGATCCCAATGCCTTCCCCGGCCGTCACCTAATTGGATCCTCCCACCAGCTTGCAGAGGAAGCTAGCCTTCCTGGCATTTCCACAGAGATGGGGTTCAGTGAAGTAAGTGGCTGGCTCGTACACAGAGCTGCTGTTCACACGTTGGCCTGACCTCAGAAACAGTACTTTGTTATCTGTGTGTTGTTCCGGATGCGGACACCAAGGGGTACGGACAGAGTGTGAGATGACGTTAGCGGCCTTCAGGTAGGACATTCACGCAGAATCACAAGGTGAGGGTCACTTCCTTCCCAGCTCCCTTCTGGTCCCCTTGGCTTCATCGTAGAACAAGCCTGATGCAGGTGTGCCTTACCACCTCCTGATACGTTGTCTGTTGTCGCTTAAAAATGGGAAATGACAGAGGGTTTTCTTTTGGTGCAAGTGTGTGCTTGTACGTGGGTGAGTGTGGCGTGGAGGTCAGAGGACCACTTGGAGCCAGTGTTTGACTTCTACCGTATGGGTCTCGGGGATTGCACACAGGTTGTCAGGCTTGGCAGCAAGCTTTTACCCCCTGAGCTATCTCACTGCCTTTTGTTTTGGGACAGGGTCTCATGTGGTGTCGGCTGTCCTGGAACTTACGACCCAGCCAAAGATGGCCTTGGCCTCTGGATCCTCTCACCTCAGCGGTACCACCGCAGCCACCTATTCCCCATTTTTATTTTCAACAGAGAAAATCCTTCAGGCTTCGAGCCTTTGCTAGGATACAGGATCTGGATAGAACTAAATAACACAGTCTGAGCTTTCCTTCATTTCCCCTCGTTTCTGGATTTCCTAATTATAGCAAGTGCTTACAGGCTTTCATTTGGTATGACAGTCTCTCTGAAAAACAGAACGAATTATAAGCTGAGTTGACGAGAATGCCGAGGAGAGGGAGGAAGGATGGGTCCTGCCACGGTTCAGGCAAGCCACGTGGAATGACGCTCCCAAGAGAAACAGGCAGGGGTGCTGGGTCACACTCCTGGGTCTCAGAGAACCCAGGACCCTCTAGACAAAGCCTGAGATCATCATTGGTGGGGGAACCCTAAACCCTGACACAGGATCCTGGGCCACTTGCAATGCCTTCTGGGAATAGCACTTTTTCTCTCAGCCAAAGGCTTCTAGGGGGGCATAACTCCCTGAGATCACAGGGTAACAGCCTGAGGGAAGAGTCGAGAAAACGGCCAAGGAAAGCAGAAGACATGCTGGGTGGGAACAGAGGTGACCAGAGGAGGAAACTGTAAAGAAAACCATGGTTGTTGTCACCTGGAAGCAAGTTTGCTTCCTTGCTCTGTGTCCCTGCCACTCCATCAGGAGCCTCGTGGACTCGCTCCCATGATTACTGGCTAAAAGCTCTCCTCTCCTCTCCTCTCCTCCCCTCCCCTCCCCAACCCTCCCCAACCCTCCCCTCCTCTCCCCTCCCCTCCACTTTTCTTCTAACATTAATTTTCCAGGATTCCCATGAGGGAATCCTCAGCCCAGACAAAAAGCAAGCTCATTCTCTGATACTCAGAGAGGAAGTTTAGGAAGCCCAAGTTCAATTTTCCTAAGCTTTATCTGACTTGGGCACGGAGGCTCACACCTGTAATCCTGGCATCTGAGAGGCTGCGACAGGAAGATCATCAGTTCATGGCCAGCTGGGGCCACGAAGCAAGAACCTGTCTCAACAAATAAGCAAACATGGCTGAAAAGCTTACGCCGGTGTTGGAGCCCACTTACAGGAATCCATGAGTTGTGATAGAACAATACTGTAAGCATCCTCTTTCAAAGTGGACCCTCTTGGAAGATGAGCCGTGATTACGGTGGGCCTCCTGGTACACGGCCGTAGTTTCTAGGGGCCAACACAGAGAAGCAAAGACCTGCGCTATGCTTGTTCTTGCACCACAGATACGGACACCAATAAACTGCTAAGGAGCAGCACCCAGTGGCTGGTGGCACAGAGCTCAGGGGCAGCTTGCTTCCTGGTGACAGGTACCTGCCAAGATATTAAAGAGCGATACAGATACAAGCGGGAAGAAAGAGAAAAGGCCTCTCTGTAGGCAGGAAAACAATTCAAAGTTGGGAGGAAGAGGGGCCAAGGGACCCACTTTCATCAGGAGACCCAAGTGCTTCTTCCAACTGCAGCCAGCTAGGCCTGAGTTACCATTCCCCAAGGAACCATTCCCTGAGTTACCTACTGCTTCCTTTGTAAAGTCAAGGAGGTGGAACAAGATGGCGCCCAGGGGTCTGCACAGCTCCCAGGCTCGGTTCGCCCTTTTCTTGACAGTCTGGTTTTCAACTGTCTTCTTTTCTGGTTCACCTAATCGCTTCTGAAAGAGCTGTGTGTACCCACTCTAATCTTGCAAAAAAATAACCCCTGAAGCTCTTTACAGGTTCTCTCTTGCATTTATGAAGGCCAGCAACCTCTATTCCCAGGACAGATATCCCATGGCCTGAGAGGTTTGCATCACTGGCCTTGGTACAGCCCCAGAAACCAGCCCTACAATGTATGAGACAAGAAAGCCACACTTCATTATGTGACCTAGATTGTTGCTGCTCCAGCCCAGACTCCAAGATGAGGCTCATATTTCTGGCTTCCTTTCCGCTGTCCACAATGATTACTCATGGCCTCTTAGTTAACAAAATGAGAATTTATTAAAATTTCAGTTCTAATAAATAGTCAGTTGCCTCTACAACAGGCTCGAAGCCCTGGTAAAATGATAGTCTGTGTAGTCATTCAAAGAGAACACATTAAGTAAGCTGAGGGCTTTAGTTACACAGGGAGCTGCTTTCCTCCCTTGACTCCCTGCTGTCACCCTACTGCGGCTTAATGTCTTGAAGATGAATTCATTTTCTTATTACATAAGATTCCCAAAGATACATTAGCCAAACAGGAAACAAAACAAACAAAAGAAAACAATAAACAAAAGACTCCTAAACCGAGAAGCGGGTATAAAGAGAAGACTTGATGCTTTTTCCCATCTATGGAACCAACAACAAATATGCGTGGGAGGCCCAGATGGGGGTTGGTGAAGTGCTGAATTCAGCCATTCACAGTTCCAGGCTAGAATTAGGCTCTTCAGGGCTTTCCTTCCCAAGTGATATCCCATCATGGGGAAATTAAAGCTGAAGGGAAACCCTTCTCCTGCAGACAATTAAAACTCTGGGGGATGGTGAGGACCTCAGCATTATAAAACTTGGAATTCAAGAGTAAAAGAAGAGCAAGGAGGCTCCAGTCCCTAACCTTGAGAGGTTGCTGTTGCCTGAGGTCAAGATCAGATTTCAAAAGCTGGACTTGAGAAGCGAATAGCAACAGCCAGGCACACAGCTCAGCTCACTGGGGGCTTGACAGTGTCTTGTCCTCCACCTGTCCCTGGGTCTCTTCATCTAGTAGCTACTCCTGGTTCCTACGTATCTCCGCTTGTCTCTGCCAACCTGTTATTCATCACTGCAAAGGCCCCCACACCCCCCGAGAACTCATCATCCCTGAAGGATGCATTGGACTGGTGGGGTCCACCATTGGCCATCTCGGACAGCTGCTTCTGCAGGATAGCCAATGAGACCTTGTTGGTGTCCTTCATGGAGATCATCTCCCCCGAGAGACGTCGCCCGTCCGTGTCACTCTCCATCATCCCATCCGTCTCTATGGAGATGTTGCCCCTGTTCCGGATGTTGCCGGGCATCACCGTATTCCTCCTGGACCGCAGGAGTCCTCTTTGACATTGTGGGAAGTACCCACTATCCAGCTTCCTCAGGATCCAGTTCACAGTCTGCTTGATCAGGATGGAGATGACATTAAACAAGGAGTAGATGCAGCAGACGCCTGTGAGGATGAAGAAGAAGTTGGCAAATCGGTAGAGTCCTTGGCTCTCATACTGAGCATTCTGGCTGCTGACCAGGTCCCCAAAGCCAATGGTGCTGAAAGCGACGAAACAGAAGTAGAGAGAGTCAAAGTAGCTCCAGCCTTCCATGGTGGCGTACAGAGCCGAGGCTCCGCAAGAGATGACCACGGATGCCAGGCATAGGATCAGCATGACATAGTACACAGAGGGCTTCCAGCCGGCCAGGCTGTCGACCTCACGCTTCTCAGGGGCCTTCATGTTGTCCTGGGTCACTACCCCACGTCTCTGCAGCTGCTGTTGGTGACAGGATCTCATGACGTAGGCGATGACTGTGATCAGCCGCTCTAGGAAGAGGTTGAAGAAGAGGATGGTGCTTGCACATCCAACGAGACCGTAGAAGATCAGAAAGATCTTCCCTCCTATTGTGGCTGGTGTTGTCATCCCAAACCCTGACGAAGACAAAAAGCAGAGGAGACAAGAGTGAGCGAGAGCTTGACTGAGAGCGGGGTTGGTGTATGGGCTTGCAGGCTGCTGAAGGGCTGGAAAAAAACAGTGTTTTAAAATCCCCTAGCCCCAACCTTTCTCAGAAAGCAGAGAACCCCCATCTCCACTGGAAGGTTGTTGTTCGGCATAGAGCTGCCTGCCACAAACCCATATGGTGCTATTGTGCAAGGCAGGAAAAGGCTCCTCTTCTCTGAGTGGATCTTGCCAGAAGAAAAAAGGCTTAGAGACGAGGATATGCCTAGGTTTCAGCCTCCTGCCCTCCTTTTGTTGGATGTCCCTTGAACACTAAAGAACATGAGCAGCCACAATCAACAGACCTTGCTCAGAGATACAAAGACTCCTACAAAAATAAAGGCTTATGCAGACTCAAAAAATTCATTCATTTTACAAACATAGGACTGAGGATAAAACCAGAGCTCCTGTCTCCCTGAATCTCTGGTTGTGCAAGACAATTGGTATAGTGTATGTTAAGTACTGGGCTTGGAAGTGGTACAGGGCTCTGTAGCAGCTGCTGCGAGGAGTACCCACCTAAGACCTAGGGTTCTAGAAAGATTACACAGAGGGTCCTTGAAACCAAGGAGGCATTGCACAGGCAGATGGTACATACAAATAGTAATGGCAGTCCTTTTCTTCCTTCTCTTGCTTGTATGTGCATGTATGTGGTATGTGTGCGCACGTGCATGTCTGTTTATGTGCAGTTGGGGACCAGAAGTTGATATTGGGTATCTTCCTAAACTGCATCCCACTTGAGTTATTAAGGCAGGGTCTTTGACGGAAAGCGGAGCTCACTGATTGCTGCCAGTTTAGCTGGTCAGCTTGCCCTGGGGATGCCCAGTCTCCCCTCCTGAGTGCTGGGATCACAGGCAGTTGCCATGCCTACCTGACCTTTTCATGAACTCTGAGGATCTAAACTCTGGTTCTCATACATTTTCCTTCATTTTCAAGTTCAGCTCTCTCATTGTGCCCATCACAATGAGAAAGCCATCATCCTTTTCTTGTAAATCCCGAAAGCCAGTCACTTTTCTTGTTGCTATGGGTCAACCAGTGGCTGCCTGTCATAGGTTCCCCTGGGAAATGGTTATATCAGATCTTTGGATGTGTGGCCTTCGGGGGTTATGAGCTCATGGTAATGAAGGGACCACTTTTCCCAGGCACCTGATCTATGCATTCATAACTATTCAATTATCCAACTACAGTCACAGTTCTCAGCATGCATGGTTCTCTGCTATGTCTAATTGGGAAACTAAAGACCTCAAGTCAAGATAATGAAGGAAAACATTGAGTTTTGCTTCTACAAAAATAGGATACAGAGAAATAGATGGGATAAGGGTAGGGAAGGAATGAGGGGCAGGGAACAATGGACTGGAGATTTTGAGGGCTAGGATCCTTAATGGTGGAGAAAAAAAATCAGGATATCATCTCTCCTTGCTTTTAAAACCCAAGCCCCCTCAGTCACCTCGCAGTGGAGGATCTTATGTATCTCCATCATGTAAAGCAATGTGTTGCTCTCTTTCTGGTTAGGATATTCATTTGTATCCCAAGCTCAGATGAGGTGGTTAGGGCTGTAGAAACCTGAGTTTGATGAGTTAAGTGCACTGAGTTTAACAAGTAGGTTTCAAATAACATTGTGTTCTATGCAGTGCAAAAGAACACCACCACCGAGTCAGCAGTGTGTCAGGCAATTAGCTCCCAATGGTCATAGGAACTTGGTGCCACTCTGATGGATTCAGTGGAGTCCCTGGACCAGGGGAGCTTGTGACTGCTTCCTGTGGAAGACAGAAAGCAGATGGCTGAGCCCACGCATTATGTGTCCAGGTCCCTGCTATGATAGGAATGGTTTATCACCCCAAATTCCCCTGCTGATCTTCACCCACAAGGTGATGGTTTTAGAAGATGAACCTTTGTGAGGTAGTTAGCCTACGGGGGCAGGACCTTCTGGGAGGGCATCCGAGTCCTTGAAAATGATACCTTGGGGGCTGGAGATGTGACTTAGTTGGTAGGGTGCTTGTCTGATAAACTAGGCATGGTAACAGGTTCCTGCAATCCAGCATGCAGGAAGACCAAATATCTTAGATAACACGGAGTTCAAAGGCAGCCAGGCCTAGACAACAGCAACTCCAACAGAAGACACCCCGGAGAATGTCACCCTTTCTGCCATGTGAGAACACAGCAAAGATTCTATGAGAGACTTGACTTTGAACTTCCAGAACTGTGAACAATCTATTTCTCCGTTTAGAAGCCAGCCTGGGGCATTTGTTACAGCATTCAGAATGAATTAAGACAGCCATCTAAGATGACTCAGATAAGCTCCTCGTGAGCTCCTTATAAGAAGTAAACAATGTCTATTTCTTGCTTATGAGGTCCCAGGGACAAATCAAAATATGATCCTGCTTAGAAAGTCCCAGTGACAAACCGGGTTATGATCCCACTGAACTTCATCCCAGGGGAAATAGAAAGTTTTCTGGGCTTACCTAAAGCACACAGGGTGAGGGGTTGCTTACACTAGAGTGGAAAGTCCTCCCCCAGCCTGGGTGGTGGTCTTCCCGTAGCCACATCAATGGAGTCCTCAATTCACCTTCTCCAGCCTAGCCACTGGAGTATCTTCTGAGACTCCGAGGCCATATGCAACTAGGGCGGAATTGCACACAAGTGGCTGAGAGGAAGCGGCGGCCTCTCAGACAAGGTCCACTAATCCACTCCACCTCTCCTTCTCTAGGGAAGGTAACTGTCACCAAGCTGCATGTGACGGTCTCCTGTAAGCAGGCACAGTTGATCTAGGGAAAATGGTGACCCTTGACCTCTGAGAGCCCACATCAAGGCTAGGACAAATGAGCTGTTCACAAGAGAAACCATGATAGGACAAGGAGTAAGTGCAAGCATAGAGTTCTCTCATCAGAGGGGGTCCGATGAAGCCTCACTCCAGGCAGTGTGACCTCGGCACCTTTGTGTACAGTGCAGTGGACACTGAGAAGCTGGGGGAATTGACTTCTCCCCAACGAACAAGGCTTTTATCGACTCAAGGGACTTGTTCCAAGAATTGAGCGTTTCTGAATTCCATCTGTTGATTTGATTTTAGAGGAGTTCTAAATTAAGGAAGAAATCGTTAAGACTTTTGGTCACCTGCTGGGCTTCCTAGATCACAGCTATCTCTTCAATTAGTCAAAGTAACAGAAAATGGTAAGAGCGGCGGCACCGTGGGCAGCTGAGCACTGAAGACTTGGGAAATAGTGCTGCGGAGAAAGTGCAGGGCCTGAGCTCAAACCCAGAACCCATGTATTAACCCAGAACCCATGCATTAAAGAGCCGGGAGCGGCATGTAACTGTAATCCCAGCACTGGAGAGGTGGACACAGGTAGATCCCTGAGGCACCCTTGCCAGGCCAGCTGTCCTACCTGGTGATTTCCAGGTCAATTAGAGACCCTGTCTAAAAACCAGTAGTGGATAACCCCAAGGAACAACACCCATGGTTGATACACACACACACACACACACACACACACACACACACCACACTCAGCAAGATGTGGTCATTATGCTCTTGAAACCTTAGCATCCCTGATTCTCAGTGCAAGGGCCGCACAAGGCTAGGCCCCTTAGCATTCTGTCACAGAGTGGGGAAAGGCTCACGAGGCCCCATCCCTCCCCAAATAAATACAATTAATGGTTGCTGGGGAAGAAGAGATGTTTTCTTTACTGGTATAGCCACTGATAAGTCGCTCATGCTCCTGTAAGAAACCCTAAATTCAGGGGTCACGCTGCCCCATCCAGTTTTTACCTACTGGCCTGAGTTGCAGACAGTTTAATCATCTGGAAGAAGGATTGGCAATGTTTACACTGACCTGGAATAATTGTCCATAAATGTTAAAACAAAAGGATGACGTGGATAGTGAATAAGAGCCCCCAGGGATCTTCTTGGCAGAGGACAAGGCTACCTGCCTTGCCACCAAGGCCTTCATCATGCTTGGCTGGCTCCTTATATGGTGCCACAGGTTTGCATCGAATAGGTATGTTCCAGGGCCTTTCCGGAGAGCTCTCTCTTGCCGTCACTCCTTGCTGGTGGTCTGTGTTCCCCCTCCCCCTGTTATTGGTGTTGTCACTAGTTGCTGACACTAGCTTCTTACCAGTCCAGTGTGAAAACACTGAATCTTCTGGGCATTTAGTACCAAAGTGGGACTTCTGAGGTAACCGGCTCTGTGTGTTCTTATCTCTTCAGCATGTAAACGGCCAGTGTTGAACGACCCGGGGCAGTATCCTGTAAGCCAATCTAATAACACATTGCAAGATGTATTTATTCTGTCAGTCTGTCTCTCTGGAGAACCCTGACTACTTGGAACAACTTTGCGGAGGGCTCTTCTGCCCTGCAGCATGTGATGCCGGATGTTATTATTGCGGGAGCAGGTGTAAGAGAGAGGGAGCGATCGTGTGGCAAGACAGGAAACAGAAGCGAGGATGGTGGCCATCTTGCTTTTTTGTTTGAGACAGAGTTTCTCAGTGTAGCCTTGGTTGTCCTGGAACTCACTTTGTAGACCAGGGTAGCCTCGAACTCCGAGATCTGCCTGCCTCTACCTCCTGACTGCTGGGATTAAGACCGTGATCTTGTTTTGTTTTTTCTTCAATAGTAATTCTCTCATGAGAGCTAACTAGGGTCTCATGAGAAGAAAACTAATTTCTTATGGAGGGCAACACATCCTATGGCTTCCCACTACAAATCTCAGCAGTACTAGGGACCAAGCCTGAACACACAAACCCCTGGGGACACAGCCATCTAGACCACTCTATTTGCCAATCTACCTTCTACAGTGCAGATCCATTCCCGTGTTGTAGCTTATAGGAGATGAGAAGGAAGAAGAGAGAGAGAAGAGAGAGATACAGATGTGTGACCAAGGACTGCGGTGGACACTGGTTCTAAAGGGGGTTTCCGAGTGGGTGTCTGCTTGTGGGTTTGTGCCCCATGGTGATCAGTGTGGGTTGTACTCTAGGTTAAAAGTGACTTGTTTTAATGCAGGTCCTTGACTCTTCCTACATTTGGGTCCAAGTCCAGTTCCTCGCTTGGACGATAAGGACAGCCTTGGGGTTGAAGAATTACTGAGACGTTTCCCTTCCAAAATAGAAAAGCTGGTGATTTGGCCACGGGGGGCTTGGAATCTCATAACTGAAGTTGATCATCACAGTTGCAGCTACTCTGTGTACCAGAGAAGAGGGGCTGACTTAAAGATTTTTCTCCTTTGTTCTGTTCTGTTGGTGCAGAAATACTGACCCTCTCCAAGTCACTGAGAGGAAGGCCTCTTGACTGGCATTTCAGCTCTTAGGGGCAAAACAGCGTCACGAAGAGGAGGAGGAGGCACTGTGATGACAGATTACAAAGGCAGAGCCCGTGGCTGGAGTCAGACACTGTGTTCAGGGGTGGTGACCGGGTTTCACATGAGACTCCCTTGCCCCATCACAGTGAATAACCCTGACAGGCTGAATCCTACAACCTGCTCAGAGCCACCACACTCGTTTGGTGGCACTCTGCAATCCCGTCCCAATCATCCTTACCCTAAGTACGTCACGGCACATATCTTGTTCTGGTCTTCCCTTTGATAAAATGAGGGTGGGGGACCTAGGTGAACTCAAAGACCTGTGGAATTCAAATGTTCTGTGGTTTGGATGCTGAGGCATGGATCTGGCTCATTCTGTTTATTTGCTCAGCACAGAAAGATCAGACCTGGGCATCTGTCGGGGTCTCACCACGCCCGCCAGGCAGATCGCTTTTCTACCTGAAGACCAACTCCATCCATGACATCTCTCAAGTGAAAAAAGCATTGCAGGCTGATTGAACGTGCTCTCCAGGGTCCTCAGTGAGCCAGAGGGAAGCAGTGTCTCTCTCATCCCTCAAGCACTAACGCCCCACAGTAAACACTGCGGATGTGGATGTTACATGTCCTTTCTAAGGTTAGACGTATTTTTGGAATTTGATATTCTTAAGGTCATGACTTCTCTTTATTTTAATAACAGCAAGCCATCTTTGACAAAGGACTGGGAATTCTTTTAATAGAGTAAGCCATTTTCCAGGTAACTTCTTGATTTAAGAACTAAAGACTTTAGCGGTGAATACTTTACAAGTAAGGCTTAAATTATTGCTATTTAAGTATAAAAGCTGATAACTGGAATGTGACAAATTGGGGTTTTCTAAATCAGTTGCCTTACTATGGATTATAGTCATTTTTGTATTCAAGTTACAAAAACTGGCCTCCTGGGAACCAGAACACAGCAACTCCCAAGGAGGAATTTAAAATTTCATTTCCTCGAGAGAGACACAAGAGACAGGGGATTCTGGTTATGTGTTTCATGCTTTCGCAGACCGTTTTCCTCCTCGCAAACATTTGCTGGAATGACTGCTGAAATCGACTCTGGCGGCAATACATTCCGTCATTATTTCTGACTTCACCCTCATTTAAAACGGTGGGGTGAGGTGGGGGGAGGATCATATGATTTACTTATCTCAAGGCAGCATCCTGATTCTAGCGCTTCCTAACTTTTAAATCTTGAAAGTACTTCTTAAAAGCAAGTAGATATAATTATGTTCTCTCCTGAACTAAATTGCCCTCCCCCAGACTTGGAAGAAATGGTTCAATTAAATAGAATGTTACCAGAGTGCCTGGCACATGATGGAGGGAGGCTGCCTCTTCCTCAACTCCAGGGAGACGATCTGGCCAAGGTATCTTGAGGAGTTATCAATTCTTTATAGAAAGAAGACAGCTTTGTTCTATGGGCTGCTGGGTAAAGCCTCTGGAGCTCTGTCTGCCATTTTGAATTTTCTTCTGCATAGCATCATCATGGAAGGGTCCCCTAGATTGGTCCTTGGTACCCACAAAACTGACATCTGCTGCTGGATCTAGGATGGTCCTTACCCCACCCTGCTCAGAACCCCATATTTCCTTTCTAGAAGCCTCTTAAATGCCTTTAGGGTACTCTCATGCCCTCAGAAACCTAGCTTGAAAGCCAAAGACAAGGACAATGCTACAGAACCTACAGAACCATGAAGCTCTCTGCCCTTCATGGTTTAGTTTCCATGTGCCATCTTATAACGAGAGCAAGGATGGCTTAGGGATGCTGGGTGACACCACAGGGATGTAAGGTAGAGAATTTTGCATTTATGGAACAGGCATGCATGCAGGATTCCATGAGGAACCCGAGTCCACAGTTCCTGCGTGACCTCTTTTGATAGCCAGGGCCTTCATTGAAGCTTAGTCTCCAGCAGCATCTCTACCCCCCAGAGGATGGATCTAAGACTCAGCTGACAGCTACTACAGCAGTGTGGCCACAGATTCTGCTGTTGGGCACACACTGGCTCATACCATCATTGTGGGCTACACTGTGGGTAGGTACTCTGAGCCTAGCAGACATGGCATTGCCTACCAGGAACCCCAGGGTACAGGTTGGTGCATCCACAGCCTGGTGGTCCTTGGTTCTCAGGAGGACACAGTTCTTAGAGTGTGCCAAGAACCAGGGGGGTGTCAAGTTCCTGGGGGGGGGTTCCAGTGAACTGCTGAAATAGTGCAGACATGCAAATTAGTTAGTCTAATCAAATTCAGGCGGAAGAAATGGAAAACCATCATTGAGGACATTTTGACTGCAGAGAAGTTCACAGAGATGTTGTAAGCAGGGGTTTGACATTTTGACAGGATGTCATCATGTATGAATGTGTTGTACCACCTTAATAGATATTCCTGGACATGTATGACCCTAGGGCACAGGTTGGACACATCTGGATGGAGTTTGGAGTAGGCATATGATTTGAGGCCTCTTTAGAGAAGTCAGCTGTGTGATGTTCTTATTTTATAAATTATTCAGAAGAAAGTATTTTCTTTTTTTTTTTAACTTTTGGGACAAGGTCTTACTTTATAGTTCTGGCTAGCCTGGAACTCACTAGGTAGACCTGGTTGGCCTTGAACTCAGAGATTTTCTGCTTTTACCTCTGCCTTCCCAGTGCTGAAATTATAGCGGTGTACCTTCACACCCAGCTAAAGTGTTTTTTCTTTTAAAAAGGAATTAGCAGCAAATGAGTTATCATTACACTGCCATTCAAATACTTTCCCACAATGTGGTAGTTTGAATGTAATTGGCCCCCATGAGCTCATAGGGAGTGGCACTATTGGGAGGTGTGGCTTTGTTGGAGTGGATGTAACCTTGTTGGAAGAAGTATGTCACAGTGGAGGTAGGATCTGAAGTCTCACATATGCTCAAGTCACACCCAGGGTCTCAGTTCATTTCCTGTTGTCTGTGGAACACAGATGTAGAATTCTTAGCTCCTTCTCCAGCCCCACGTCTGTCTGCATGCCCCCCTATTCCACCAAGATGATAATGGACTGAACCTCTGAACTGTAAGCCACCCAATTAAATGCTTTTCTTTAAAAGAGTTGCCATGGTCATGGCGTCTCTCCACAGTAGTAGAAACCCTAATTAAGACACACAGTCTTCCTTATTTCCTTCAAACATGAAATTTCCTGTTGCCATTCTATGACCAAGTCCATTTTATGTTCTGGGAATGTGAGGCAGACTCATGTTCACTGTGACGGTAGCTCTTGAATCAAAGTTCTTGTCAGAAAAAAATTCTTCCTTTTCCTCTCGCCTTTCCTCATTTTCTCATTCCCCCTTTTATACCTTTCTCTCAATTTCTCCCCTCCACTTCTTTGAAGGATCCTTTCACAGTACACAATGCTCCTCATTTCTTTTAGAGGTAGCAGAATGAGTCACTGCGCTGTACTCAACTGGCCTTCAAGGGAGCTGTGTTCAGACTTTCTCTTTACAATGTTTAATTTTGATAATATTAGTTTCAGAAAATAGTTATGGTTTTCTTTTGCTCAAAGCCACAAGAGAAACTATTTTAATTAAAAAACCCCCCACACTTATTTATTTTGTGTGTGCCTGTGTGTTCACAGGCACCACCGTGTAGATAGGGAGATCGGAGAACAGCTTTCTGGAATGGTTTCTCTCCTTCAGCCACAGAGGCTGCAGGGATCCTAGTCAGGTCATCAGGCTTGGAGCTGAATACCTTTACCTGCTGAGTCTGTTGCCAGCTCACGAGAAACCATGCTAAAAAGTATTATGATGTTTGTGGTACAATTGGGATCAGCCAATATAACTTAGCTGCCAGAGGGAATGTTCAAAAGTGTGATAATGCCGTGGCGTGTTAGTTACTTACAAAGAGAAAAAAGAAAAGGGTGCGGGGAGAGGGAGAGCCAGCACAAAAGAGGTATTTGCTAGGATTTATTTTAATACAAAGGGAACAAACAATGACCTCAGCCACTTCTGTGAACTTCGAGCTGGTAACATAAATGCCAGGGTTTCAAGTGAGTGACTTCAGAAGTCCAAATGTGAACCCTCTGGGGAGGAGAGATGGCACATTGTCATCCACTGAGGAATGGAAGGGATAAAATGCTGGGGGCGGGGGTGGTGGCGGTACCAGCCACAGATGCAGACAAAGGACCCGGAAGACAATGGCTGAGAGCATCTTCTGAGTGCACTGCAGTGGAGGCTCTCTGTAACCGACACAAAGACATGTTCTTCCGATGACATCATTTCTAATTCTGCTGGCAGAATAGGCTCTACCACATAACTTCACCTAACGTGCCCTCTTCCCCATAAAAACCATTCTCTACCCCCACTTTTCTCCTAACTGCATCTTGGCTGTATCTTCAGCTTGGCAGGTCGCCCGCATTCTTTATCTCCACATACCTATTCAACACGCATTCGCTGAACCTCTACCTAAGGCCAAACCTTGCCTCGCCAGGGAAGATGCGGGCACTTGCTGTGCATGACTGGACCGACCTCTGGATTTCACCTTTTCCGCCTCTGCATTTCCCACTCCAGTCCTTGTATTGTCCCTCATGTTTTGTTTCTTCTTTTGTGAGTTGTATATTTTCATCTTTAGTCCATTTCCTATGAAAACATTTATCCTTTTTATTGATTTATAGGAACCCTTCATATGTTAAGAAGGTTTAAGCTCTTCTTTTAAGAATATGCTATTTTATTTATTCTTTGAGAATTTCAGACAAGCATACAATGTATTTGGATCATATCCACTCCCATTCCTCCCAGGTCTACCCTGCCTTCCCACCCCTTTCAACTTTTATATGTATTGCAAAAAAAATTTTCCTGTGTGTGTTTGTCTTTTATTTTGACATAAATGTTTTGTAGTTAGACAGAAGTTTAATTTCCACACAAACAAATCAATTTGTTCCATTATAGCTTTTGACTTGGAGGTCATGAAAAATCCTTCCTTGCCCTGGGAATATACTTAGGGTTCTAGTATTTTAAAAATATAATATTGGACCGAAGAGATGACTCAACGGTTAAGATGCTCTTGTTCAAGTTCCAGAACCCCATGTCTACTCATAGCAATCTGATACTCCAGTTCCAGTGGATCTGATGCGCTCTTTTGGTCTCTGTAGGCACAGCGCTCATGTGGTATACATATGTACAGGCAAGACATTCACTTACATAAAATAGAATTTTTAAAAAATTTTAAAAATAATAAAGATGTTAATTTAAAATTTCAGCAGTCTAATGTTTTAAAATAGTTTATATCATTTTAATTAAAGGTTTTATTTGAGATAATTGCAGATGGACATGTATTTGTATGAAGTAACATGGGAAGGCATTATTTCCCTTTTACTCAGTTTTCTCCAATGATAATTTTTTTTTTTTTTGCAAAATGACAGTGTAATCACACCATTGGGACACTGGCATTATCCCGCCCTAGGTGTCACTCATATGCTTTTAGTAGAACTTTGTTCTGCACAATTTTGACACAAATGTAGGTCCCTCAGCACCATTTTAAAAAGTGTTCCATTTTTTGGCTAATCTCTTGAGATACAGCTTTTTATTAAAAGCAATTTTTAAAATTTGTTTCTGGATTCTATATTTCATTTTACTTTTTATTATGAGGTTGGTACCCCAAGAATAAATGGTTATTTTTTTTAATGCCAGTAAGAACCTCTCCTCTAACTCCTTCCCTGCTTCTCCTTCTTCTCCCCTCTTCCCTTTCCTTTGCCCATTTTCTTTATAGAGCTGCTCTTGCTTATTCTGTGCTTAGTATTTATGCTAGGCTGTAGAGTCGTTTGGTTTAGTGCCAAAACGATATCTGGGTTTTGACTGGGGTTGCCTTATATTTAGAGACGCATTTGTGGAGAAATGACATCCTTACCAAATTTGAGTTTTTCCACCAGGAACATAGTGTCTCCCCCTCTCTCTCCACTAATAGAACTCTTTGGGAGCCTTAGTGAAATTTTGTGATTTCTTCCTGTGGGTTCTTTCCAGATCTTGTTACACTGATTCCCTCTGAAGATGCTGTGGATGGTGGGAGTGCTCTTCCCTGCCTATACATAGTTCTTTTGCTTGGCTATTTTATTACTGTTTTTTTTTTCTCATCATGGTAAAACATACATACCAGGAGATTTACTCTATTAAGTTTTAACAGTTCACAGTGCTACGAACCGTAGCCACGATGTGTCTTTGGAACCTGTCCATCAACCCAAACGCAACCTTGTATCCATGAATTGCTTGCCTAGTAGCCTCGATTCTGTCCTCACGACTCTGTCCGCTCTAAGAACCCGCCTAAGTGGAGTTATGCAACTTCCATCCTTTGTGTCCAGCTGCTCTCCCGGAGCACTCTGCTTCCATGGTTCAGCCTGTTGCAGGATGTCTCAGAAGCCCACTCCGCGTTCTGGCTGAGTGAGAGTCTGCCCTGTGTGTGCTTGGCCCTCTGGTTCTCCACTCATTCACCAATGGACCCTCGGGCGCCCTGCTCCATCATGGGCTCTTTGCTCCTTCTGGCTTTTTGGAGAGCTTACACTTCTGTGGATGTGGGCATGCAAATATCTTCTTGAATTTTTGCTTCTCACTGTTTCAGGAATATGATAGCAAATGAATATTTTGTTCATTTTATAGCCAACTCCTGGTAGCACACAGCTGAAAGATGGTCTTAAATGACTAATTACAAAAATTTTAATATCTGTTCCCAATTAAACAAAAGAAAGGGTTTTTTTTGGATAGGGTCTCATGTAGTATAGACTGTCCTTTGGCTTGTAGCTAAGGATGGAATGACCTTGAACTTCTAATCCTCCTGCCTCCATACACGGAGTGCTGGGATTATAGGCTTGCCTCACTGCACCCAGTTTTTATACAGCTCTGGGGAGGCAAGCTCTCTACCCACAGAGCCACATTCCCAGCCACTCAAGGCTCCTTATTAAAGTCTTTTCTGCTTCCCTTTGGCTATGATTGCCCATGTCAGTAATTCACAAACTATTGTCAGTTCCTAGCCCACGAGAATAACACATTCTAGATGCTGGGACTACCTAGGTTCCACTGCTCATGAGAAATCACTTTTCTCTTTGTGCTTTTGAGTCTTCCAGATGAGGTTTTGGTTTTCTTTGCTTTTCTCTTTTCAAAGAACGGCAAAAGGAAGGGTTTGGGAGGAGGTGCAGCAGAAAGCCACTTTCAACCCTGCAGAAGCGGGCTCAGCTTGAGGCCACCTGAAGCAGGTGGGTTTATCTGAAGTGCCGCCTATTTCTGTCAATGTCTAGGTATTTAAGTGCCGGGTAATGAACTTAGAATATGTTTCTCTTCTGCTTTCTCCCCAAGAAAGGCCATTTCTCTTTCTAAATTGGGTATTCTTATGTCGCGCTGGACTGGAGAGCCTGGAATATGCTTCCTGGACAATATATCTTTGCATTCTTTGTTACCTCCTTAAAAGCAGGACATCAACCCTCAGCGTCAACCCCCCACCCCTGCAGATTTCCTGGAGTCTGGGTGGCTGTCTGGATTCATTTCTCAGTCCTGTTCCTTACCCCAAGGACACCCAGATATCGCCAGGAGGATGGATAATTTCAACCTGGGCAGTTTGGAACATAATTTTAACCTTAAAAAATTTACCCTCGCACATCTTAGTTTTGTCATCTGTAAACCAGGATGACATTAGCACCCGCACAGGACATTCGTAAAGGTTGAATAATCCAGTATAAGTGAAATTCTAAGAGGGGAGGGGTTCTAAGAGCCAGGCTTTGCATGTAATGTGTGCATGCGTGTGTGTCTCTTTGTTTGTTTCTGTGGTCTTGGGGATGGGACCCAGGGCTTTTTACACACACACGCCAGACAGGAGCTCATCCCTGAGCTATGCCCCAGCCTGAGTCAGCTCTGCCGAGAGTAGGTGCCCTGGACAACCGCCTGAGATGTCACACAGTCCTCACCCTAGAGCCATGGTGACCCTGGAAAGATCTCTTATGCAATCACACCCATGCTGTGCCACGTCTAGAAAAGTGGGTGCCAGTTATCAATAACAGACAGCACGAAAGTGAATGAATGTTGGCCCGAACTGGCTGTGTTCACCATCCTGGCAGCAGCAGGCTCTGGGGAAGAGAGGAGAATCGTGCCCGTTCGGTAGGAAGACCATGGCTGTGCTGCATGGGGGCCCTAGAGAACCTCAGACATTTACCGAGCGTGGGACCAGTGACCCCCACTGTCCAATAGGAACAACTCCCCTGCTCTGTATCACAAAGCTTTTCTTGTAGGATCTGCTCAGTGTGTTTGTCTCCCATGCGCGATGTGACAGCATTTCAGATAGGGAGAGCCCCTTACCAAGACCTTGCTCCATCCTCATCTTCCAGCCCATGGCAAGCAAAAGACCCACATGGAAAGGAAGGAGACAGGCGTAGAAGAAAATTATCTTCTCCTTCCTGCAACCTGCTCCCCACCCACTCTTGTCTCACTTGCTGGTTCTCCACCCCTCCAGAGAAGCAAGCCCCTTAATCTCCACAGTGTCCCTAGTTGGTACCAAATCCCTAGAGGGCAAAAGCCTGAAGTCATCGACTATTGCGTTTTCCCTCCCCAGTATGGGAGGCATGCTTTTCTAGTTGCTGGGAGTCAAGAACAACAAACATTAAAAATGTCTGGCAACTACTCAAAAGCGGGACTGGACCCATCATTCTTTGATGTCCCCGACTCTCTGGCCCAGCGCCTGGACTGCTGCTGGCCACGGTTTCCAGGTCAAGACTTAACTCAGATCTCACATGCTTCCTTTTAGAGAGACTCACTCACACTTTCTTTTCCATCAAGGACAGAAAATAAAACAGATAATCCCTGCTCTTCCACCTTTTTCTTAAAAGGTATCAGCCTGGAGGGCATGTCAGTCTCCAGGGCCATGCCAATGTTAGGGTGGATGGAAACCTCCCAGCCCAGATTTCAGACCGCTGTCACCCTGAGCCATGGTCACATCTGCTCTGGCTGTGATCACTTCGCCTCTGGTCCAGTCCATCTCCAGCCTGGGCATGGAACCAGACCTCAGCAGCAAGTTCTCCTGGGATAGACCACCCATGATCACTCCCGTTTGGACTTTCATAGAAATGAACGCCAACAGATTTTCCTTCGTTACAGTGAGCTTGACTCCAAAGATGAGGTACCTGTAATGTTTTAGACAAGGCCAGAACATGGGGCTGGGAGAGTGTTCGATTGGTAAAGTTTCTGCTGCTCAAGTGTGTGACTTTGCTCCCTAGGACCCATGTAACAGATGCAGTGGCGTGCATCTGTAATTCGAGCACTGGGCAGGCGGGATAAGTGGGTCTCTGGATCTTACTAACGAGCTACTCTTGCCAAGTCAGTGAGCTCCAGGTTCGGTGAGAGACTCTTTCTCAAAGAAATAGTTGGAGAGTAACAGAGGAAGATATATAACAACCACCTCTGGCTTCCACATTCGTGCATACTCATGAACACATGCAGACAGACAGACAGGCAGACAGACAGTAGATAATCAAATAGAGCCAGCATATGTATGGCAGGATAAGGTCAGATTCACGTAATATTTTTGCTAAATGGGTTATCACAATAGACACTAACACGCGATTGTCAGAGTATACCAAAATGTGCTCATCATACACATTCTTCCGGATTATATTTTAAATATTCTTGATGATCCAGATGGTAGTTCAGATTCTTGCAACACATCAAAAATCATCAAAATGAGCACACATTATTTCGCAATAGCACTGATGGGAGTGTCTGATTGCATGAAGTTTCTCCCTGCCTGAATCCCAGTGAATGTATTTGGTACATCTATTTATACAGAGAATAGACTCTGGTTTAGCCATCATACCCAGAATCAAAACATACACGTGGGATGTAGTGGGAGTAAGTATAGCAATGGTTTGGAGACCAGGCATCCCATTGCAAAGATGCCCTTGAGATGCAATGATAGCCAGAGACTGGAGGATCCAGCTGGGGAAAGGGAAAGGGAGTGTCTGATAAGTGAGACAGGAGACTGACGGGGTGAAAAGCATGGACCCACATCTTGCCTCTGCTACCATACAGAGACTGGCCTTGAACATGGACTTGAACCTCCCCATGCCTTCACCTCTTCATCTGTAAACTTGGGTGATGATAAAAATGCCTACTCCTGAGGAAGGCTCATCAGCGTCAAAGAGGTGAAGGACATATTAGCAATTTCTGCTCTTCTTTGTTTTGGAACCCTACTTGGGTTCTCCAGATAGACAGAACCAATGGAGAATACACAGGGGAATGGTCCTAGGTCTTTCTGCACATACCCAAGTCTAAAGATGCTTGGGTACAAGTAGAGGACACCCTGAGTAGGTGAAGTACTAGGTAGATGTGTATTGCTGGCCTGCATACAGCCATGTATTGCTGATATGGATACAGCCATGACAAGGACCAAGGCCTTTAAACCATTCATTCCCAATCTTCCTAGTGCCATGACCCTTTAATACCGTTCCTCGTATTGTAGTGACCACCCGCCCCCATAAAATTATTTTCATTCCCACTCCATAACTGTATTTTTGTTACTGACATGAATCATAATGTAAATATCTGATATGCAAGATATCTGATTTGCGACCCCTCTGAAAAGGTTGTTCAATTCCAAGGGGGTCACGACCCCACGTGTTGAGAACCACTGATTCAGAATGAAATTCTGTCATTGTTTGCAGCAGTGTGGAGCTGGAGAGTGTCCTGTTGAATTTCATAAGTTCAGTATACAAGAGACAAATGCTGCATACTCTCACTTATTTGTATGAGCTGGAAAGTTGACCTCATAGAAACAAAAACAGAGTAGTGGTTTCCAGAGCTGGGAAAGGGAATGGAGACGGGGAAGATGAAAGGGGGAAGGGAGAAGGGTTTTCAGTGTTCCAGAGTACAGCAGAGTAACTGTGACTGATAGCAACCAACAGCTGTGTATTTTGAAATAACACCTACAGAGGTTTTTGAATACTATCAGCATGAAGAAATATGAATGTTTGAGATGTCATATATGCCAATTACTCTGATCCGGTCACATCACACACATACCACACGTTGAAATGTCACATCGTGCCTCTATAAACACGTACAGTTGTTATGTGGCAATAAAAGTAAAACCAAGCAAATGTTAGGAAACACAGATTTCATTTTCACTTGGTCATCAAAGATGTGGAAATGAGAACATTTCTATCTGTCAAATTGATGAGGATTTTTTCCATTGCCGAATTGTGTATTGACAAATAATATATTTCTAGAAAACAATTAGGCAATGTGTATACACATTGATCAAGTGTCTGAAAAACAGTCACTCCCTTGATCACTTGGCATTTGTTCTAGAAAAATGAGAAAGCCAGATAGTGATTTGAAAAAATTTACGTAAAAGTCTGGGTGCAGTGGGACCTACATATAAATCGGGAGGCAGAGGCGGGAGAATCCCTGGGGCTTCTGGCCAGCTACTCTAGTCAAATTGGTGAGTTCCAGGTTCAATGAGAGAACCTGGCTCTAAAAATAAGACTGCCAGTAACTGAGGAAGATGTTCAGTGTCAACCTCTAACCTCTGCATACATTTGCGCATGCAAGCATATGTGCCCAGCGCCAACA